ATAAAACATTGAATGGTCAACTTCACTGCGAATCATACCAAAACTCCCGAAAAATAGTGCTAAATCTCCCATACCATGCACAAGGACTTTGCTTGTGACCATACGAGGCTTTATGCAGTCGACAAACAAAGTTAGTTGACTCCCCTGAGAAACAAAATCCAGGTGGTTGCGCCATATACACTTCCTCCACCAAATCACCATGGAGAAAAGCATTTTTCATATCCAACTCATAAAGCCACCAAAGGCACATCGCGACCATTGATAAAAACTACTAAAGAAAAAGTATCACCGTAATCAAGACCAAATATCTGAGTGTAGCCTTTTAGACGAGCTTTGAGACGATCAATCTGACCATGAGGGCCACTTTCAGTGTAAACACCCAACGGCAACCAACTATTGATTTCCCACGGGAACAAGAGACCATCTCTGGTTAGATTCTAGTGTTGTCATATCGTCAATCATAGCCTATCGTCATTCTAGGTGAGAAAGTGCTTCATGTACAGTCTTAGTCTTGGGGATAAGACTAGAGGAAATAGCAGATATAAAAGCATAATGGGAAGAAGATATGTGCTGATAACTGAAGATATTATAAATAGGATGTTAATTAGAAGTGGAGCGATGACCTTTGCGAAGAGTAATGGGAAGATCTACATGTGTTTTAGGTGGGACTGGAGCCGGTACGAAGCTTGGAACAAGAAATGTAAGATATGTCTCATTGGTAGGATTTCCACAAGTGGTGATGGAAGGGTGCGACGTTGGTAAGTAATTAAAGGTTGCGTAGATTGATAGAAAGGTATGGATGGCGATTCATTATCAACTAATGTAAAAGGAATTGGGAATACTTCAACGATAGACTCTAGGGTGATTATTGGTAAAAGGAGCAAAGAATGGAGTGTCTTCAAAGAAGGTGACATCCGCTGATATATAGAAGCGACGGTGTGAGGGAGGATAACATTCATACCCTTTTTGTACTCGAGAATAACCAAGGAAAATGCATTTAACAGCACGAGCCTTTAATTTATCAAAGTCAGTAGTAAGATCATGAACAAAACACGTACAACAAAACACACGGGGGCGAACATAAAAGAGAGGTTCATAAAGGAAGAATATGGAATAGGGTATTTTGTTGTTTAAAGAGGACGAGGGCATTCTATTTATTAGATGTCCAGCAGTAACATCGCCCCAATATTTTTAAGGAGTATTTGAATGCAGTAAAATTGTTCGTGTAGTTTCAATAATATGGTGATATTCTCTTTCAGCAACACCATTTTGTCTTAGGGTGTGAGGGCACCATGATTGATGAATCATTCCTTGAGAAGCTATAAATTGATTAAAAGAATCTCAAAGTATTCTTTGTCGTTATCACTTCGTAAAATACGAAAAAGAATGCCCAAATAGAGTTTGAATTTCTTTGCATAAATTTTGAAAAATAGCAAATAATTCTGAATGGTCCTTCATTGAGTTAATCCAAGTGCATCTTGAAAAATCATCAATAAAAGTGGTGAAATACCTAAAACCTAAAACAAAAATGAATCGACTTAGACCCAGCAGACATCTGAATGAACGAGATGAAAAGGCGAAATGGACAAATTACAAAATTCATTAGAAAAAGTAGACCTAACATGTTTAACAAGCTGACACGACTCACAACTTAAGGGCTCCAACTTCTGAAGACTTTGAACCATTTTTTTTCAATGTACTTAGAATGCGGAGATGGAAAGTAGTAGACCATGTGATTCATATCCTGTACCAATTGTCTGTCCCGTACTCCGGTCTTGTATATGAAAAGAGTATGGAGTAAAATTTATGCATATATCAAGTACACGGGTAAGTTTACTGATTGAAACTAAATTGAAAGGAGAATTACGAACAAAAACAGAATTTAAAGACAATGAAGGAAGAGGGGCAGTTAGGCCAATGGCAATGACTTCAGCTCTAGAACCATTAGCAAGGTTGATATATTGAGAAAATTTTGGTTGAGATAGTTTTGAGATAAGGAATACCAGCTATATGATCTATGATCTGAAGCACCCGACAGATGACGACGAATGAGAGAAACAAACAGTACCATTACCAGTGTGTGCAACGATTGCTAAAGCTGGTTGAGCTACCATAAACTGAAGGAACACCTCATATTCGGCATCATATAAAACATTTTGATTTCTTAATTTAACCTCTTCGGAAGGCTCTGAATAAGTTACATTCGTTGTTCTTAAGGAAAACCATTCAACTCGTAACATCGTGTGTGTCCCATAGGCTTACAATATGAGCATTGTGGGCGACCTCCACGTCCACCTCATCATCAACCATAGCTAGGCCTCCACGTTCACATCCAAAGGCGGAATTCTGGACCGATCTGAGAACCAACATCTACTGTGACCCTAGGTTGAAGAACACGCAGCAAACGATCAATAATATCAATTGATGATGGGACATTAGGATTTGTCAGAATTTGGTTACGAAAAGACTCAAAATCTTTGTGAAGGCCATGAAGAATGAACACCATACACATCTGATCGAGTTTGGTAGTGTCTTGGTGAGGTCATCACAAAGTAAGCTTTTTGACATCATCAATAGCAGACTGAACTTTGTTAAAACACGAACGGAGATCTTGATAGGTCATCTGAAGTGTAGCAAATTATGAATATCATAAATGTGTTGAATATCACTTGAGTATACATTCTGAGCTTTCTTCCATACGTCATAGCAAGACTTATAGGTACAAAAGTGGACCCATCAGTTTAGGACCAATGGATTGCCACAATATGGAAACTAATAGATAATCAACTTGCATCCATTTTTCACGCTTTGAGGCAACAATCTCTTCGAATATCTTTTTCCAAGTGATCATGCAAACCTTGACCACGAAACAAAATTTCTACGAGATTTTACCAATCCATATAATTTTTCCCTCTTCTCAGAAGTAATGGTAGGAGTACCAGTAAATGAGAGGCATTGCCATATAACCTGCTCAATTTAAAAATACATAACAAATAAACTGACCAAGGCAGAGGAAATGTCCTGGCAATTTTACGAACAAGCCTCTAGAAGGAAGCTGCGAACAGGCCCACAAGGTAAGCCTCACCAGAGAGACATCCGTCAGTCAATGAGAGTCAACGGGATCCAGAAGGTAAGCCTCGGTCAAGAGCCAACCTCAAAGAGATGTCCTTCAGGCACAAAGATGTTCTTCAGCAAGAAAGAAACTAAAAGACCTTCAACGCGTGAGTCAGAAAGATGAACAC